GGCAATGAAATCCCTGATGTGAAATTGTAAGAAATTTAAAAATTGACCAGTGATAACTTGACATTATGTAAGGGAGTCAAATTTGCTAACATTACCCTCCAATCATTGGCTATCCCATTCGGCCTCAAATGATTTGGCCCCTATCTGAAAGAGAAGTCGCACTCGCATGTAGAAAATATATTGGAATGCAGAAAATATTATGTTATACTTTAATCTTAAAACAAAAATTTCCCTGAAACAATTAACATACATTGGGCCATACAGTCATGAACATAGTTTTGACTGTCAGATGTATAAAACAGCATAGTGAGTTGCAATCATGGCCAAAGACATATTAGGTTAATTATTTTACAGAATTATTTTTCGTCATTTGCCACGCATGTAATCGGTGAAGGATTCAGGATTATCCGGCATGGAAATAACGTTTTAAATGTGCTATATAAAACGGTATTCAATATTCATACTACATGATGGGCATATGGCCAAACAAACACCTTGACCTTGTGCTTTTTTGCTCAAATTTACGCACGCATGATTTTGTATACATAATATAGATTTAAATCTAGCAATTCAAATCCCAAACTCATGGGGTCATGCATGACATCTATCTACACTAATTTATATTTTCATGAAATGTTAGGTGATTCATTGTTATTCACAAGTCAATGTTCAACAACATACGCTAGACGATAAAGCTTCGAATTACTTCTCTTTAATTTCCAATCCGGCTTTATTCAGTCTTTGAAGTGACTTCACAAGCGCGTGTTGAAACAGGTCATCCGTACAAGAACCCATGATGTTTCGAATCCACTTCGAGCACATTTCGACTCGATCATGTTTACATCTCAAACTCATTAATAATTCATGAGTAAATTAGCGAATGAACTCACCCTAATTCGTCACATGATTGAGGTTGGATACCGCAAGGAAACACGCTAAAAATCATATACCATCACTGTTGTTAGATGAAAAACGGTTTTCATCTAATAACTGAGATCCTAAATACAAATTCAAGTCAAAACACAACAATATACTATAATAATATATATAAGCCAATGAAATGTTTTCGTTTGAGATGTTGTGTAAACAACTCGTTTCTCGTGTTTCATCAGGGGACCAAACACTCGAAAACAATAAAACACTCGCGCTTCGCGCTCGTGTTTCATACAGTTTTCTCGTGTTTGGATCCCCTGATGAAACAATGAAAATTGATACATGTAATACGAGACCGAAATGTGGTTGTATTTTGACGAATATTAACGATATAACGAAATATAAAACCCCAATATGTATAATTCCATTAGGTGGTCTGCACATATTTCCTTGATGGTGGAAAATGCATCGAAACAAAAGAAAAATCCAATATTTTCTGCTCACCAACACGTCTCCACTCCTCAGTAAAAATTAGTGCATAGTCAGCATTTTTAGCTTGCAGCAGAACGCGTTTACTTCCGGAAAACACCAGAAATTGTGGTGTTCCGGTTTGGCTTGTCCCAGGGCTTACGGCAACGCAGGCAGCCGAGAAGCCCTGGGAACGAGGATGGTATTTGTCACAGAAAAGTTGAGGTATTTTTACAGATTTTTGGTAGTTTAGAAAGACTTGCTTTTTCGTTGCGGATTTTTCTGAACAATTTATATTCTCAATGAACATGCTTTTTTTTGCTGTTGTTTCGGTATTAATTCTTTAAAAAACTTGTTTTAAAATCCGTTTCTATACAATAAATGTACTTGTTAACATGTCAAAATCGTTTGAGAGCTTTTTCTTGTACTTTTATTTTTTTTAAAGCAAATATTTCTCTCTTTTTCTGCTTTGGTAAACTCTTGTAGCTTTTGTGCCGCCACTTTGTTTTTCGCTACTCGCCGCGGTATATGGCGAGTAGCTCGACCATGCAATCAGAATGTAGAAAAGCTCATATGCGGTGGATGCATATGACTTTATCATAATACTAGAAATACATGCATGCAGCAGCCCCTCGCCTATATATTTTCCAAACATTGATTTAACATGAATTATTGCTAATTGATCAAACTGCCGCAGGCTCTGGTTACGTCAGTGTTGCCATGGCGACACGATAATTTTAAATATTTAAATTTTTACTGTACTTTTGTACAATATGCCAAAAATAGTTGAAACATTATTGCTTTTAACTATGTAACAATAAATTTCCGAAATATGTACTGTAGGTATATATATTGTTCTGAATTTGTGAGCTTTGATTTATTGTAAAATTTATTAAACCTGAATCGCTTCGTAAAATGTTTTCAAATGTTCATTTTAATTTCAATTTTAATTTTAATATAAAGGGCCCCTATAAACTAAACTGCTTTTGCCGATATTAAAATTGTCGAGTAATTTTAGTTAGTTCTTCAAATTTATTTGCTCTCTTTTATATTTTACATTTTTTCTTAAACTAAACAGGGCAATTTACTAGGAGCATGTTTTACGCAATAAATTATATAAAGCAATAAAATTCATGGATAAACATTAAAAATTCAAAGCAAACTTGCCCTATATTTCACGATTTCCCATAATAAATCAATTCTTTTCATTTCTTCAAACAAAAATTGCTTCAAAGTTAAATAAATTGCGTGAAACATGATTTTTCAAATATATGCTTTCGAAAATTGAAATCTTCCTTTAATATCCCACCCCTGGCAAACAACCAAATTTTTTAGATCAGTGAGGAGGTCCACCCATGAACCTCCCGCGATTATTGACCAACTTCATAGTCATGCGCCCGCGATCGTTGACGAACTTCAGACTTCGCTAATGCTTTCTTTTCCATTCCTTTCCCCGGGTTTAAATAGCCGGACGGAATTAGTATCCTCGCATGGGCTAACGCCCGGAACGGCACTCCACGGCGTTGGCTCGGGGATGAGCGGCTGTGTGGCTATTATGTGGCTGTATTGTACCTTGATATGGAGAATTTAGACTGTCTTCGGATATAGGATGGGTTATAATTTCAAAAGTATTACAAAATATTAGTTACATATATATAACTTTGTGTGCTTTATTTTTATTAGGTTGGAAAGTTAACGCAGGGAATTCGCCGGGGGTATTTATGGCAATCATTTGGTTATTATTGCTTATTCTGACAATGTTTCTACCAAGTGATCTCGCGGAAAATTATGACGAAAACCAACCAAGTATTGGCAATATTGATAGTGATGGTGAAATTAATAAACCTAAATCTGGAGGAACTATTACTGGCTGTCCACCCTCGGTTGTCTTTTGTTTATATTTCCTTGTTTTCTTATTGGTGATTCTATATAACGTCCCTACCACTTATATTCCGCTATTGGCAAATTACCATCTAGGATTGGATCTAAGTCACGTGAAATTACTTTACATCAATAGTTCACTAGTTACCTTCGTTGCTTTCCTCGCTACTTATCTTTTGGTGGAAAGAATTTCCGAAAAGAATTACATTGTCTTCGGTGTTGTTTCATTAATATTCGAAATTTTACCAATATTTTATTTCGCTCTGTTCTGGGACAATGATATGTTGTCAGTGAATGCAGCTTATCTTTTGCTTGTTTCAATGTTATTTATGGGTGCCCAGTTCGTAACCTATGCTCTGGTCTGTTCATTGTTATCAAAACTAACACCTGCTGAGGATGCCGCATTTTATCAAAGTCTTACATATACCGTACTTCATGCCAGTATTATACTCAGTCGTATATTAGCTGGTGCTACTTTTTACAGAATGCCAATGATGTACACCTGTATTTGTATAACCATTTGCTGGTTATTTGGACTTATATGGTTGAGTATTGAATATAAGAACTTGGAAAATGATGAGAACTGGATTTAGTCCAGGGCCTGTGTTAAGGATTCGCCTGTGGGTGCCAGGATCAAATGGCGGACCTGACTGTGGGTCCTAACTGTGAGACCTGGGCTGTGAACTGTAATATGTTAAATTTGTAGGGGGTTTTCATTCTAGAAGACCAGCTTTGTTCCTAGCATTTTCGTATTTTAAGCCTCGGGGTTTGATTCCCTGCATTTTCAGGCACTAAATTCTGATATATTTCTTCGCCTAGTTAAAAGGTTAGTCGTGATAATATTGAAACACTCTTGCTTATCTCGCCTGCCGCCTGTACACAGGGTGTCCCGAAAAAAGTATACATTTTGAAATCAAGCCTTTGTTAGAATTTCAATGCCTTATTACTACGTTGAAGCCACAGGTGCATCAAACAGAATAGAAGTGATATGACTATTAATTTGTAATTTAACTATTTTTATGCAGTAATGCTTTACACGTACGTTTAGAACCTATTTTAAATTCCAAGAAGTAGAAAATCTTGTACTTAACAAGAATAGAGTTATTTATGATTGAAGGTCTCGATTTTCGATACACCCTAGCTGTATTTTATCACAACTGTATGGTTCAGCATTGTGCTCAGGCATTCAAATTATAATAAAAATACTGGGTTTTTTAATGGTATACATGGAATAAGATAACTTAATTGGCACTTATAATTTACATAGGTACTACTACTAAATCTATTAAAATATTATTAAAATATATCTATTTACATCTAGCTAGTGTGACAACTTTACATATACTTACTGGCAGCGAGTTCCGTACTGAAAAAGTATTTTCCCGAGGTTTCAGAAGCGGCCCGAGGCCGAGTGAAAATATTTTTTAAATTAAATTAAGTCCGGACGGACCTAAACGGTAAATAACGTGTTTTTTTTATTTGAAGGTTCATTGTTATTAAGAAATTCCGATTAAATTCCAGTTGCGAAGTACATTTGAGATCAGTTGCGTTTGTTACTTTAGTACATGCAAGCATGGCTGACAAACTGCTAAAACGACGCGATATTAAAAAGCTGGATAAAAAGCTTTTAGTTTCATTGCAATAGATGATTTTCTACTGAATAAAGACAACAGAAGATAACCTAAGTAAAATTATTTATTTTCTGGATTGTTTTACTTTACTTTTCTGGATTATTGAAAAATGCTTTTTGACAGACAAGTACAAATTTTAGTTGCGGAAAAACAATTTCTTTATTTAATACAACATATGTAAAAACAATTTTGACCGAATTAAGCCCATTAAGTCCTTAAACTTGGCATTTAAGGTATATTTTAAAATTTTATGTTTAAGGACAAGCTGTACGTTGTAGTATTTATATTTATACGTATATTTTCGAAGAATAGCTGAATATATGTGGAGCATTTGAATCAAAACATGTAGCACTGGCCAGTGTTTTTTCGATGTTTATATTTATTTTTTTCGCATTTTGGTCGGAAAAAAGTACATTTCAGGCTTGGTCAATTCACTGTATTTTACTATCTTTAGCATAGATAGGGTCAATTTTTCAACGTTTTGGGTAGTGTTTTGAGTTTGAAAAATGTCTTCACCCTCGGTTTGTTGCTAAAAAGAACTCTTTTGGACCACGGTCAAGATATCGTAAAAAGCTGCCTGCTGATACAGCCAATCAGATTGCAGGAAATGAAAAAATATCACTAGGCATGGACAAATAAAAAATAATATTATTGTATTGATCAATAGCATTGACTAGTGGACTGTTCTTAAAACGATCAAATTCTACTTTTAAAATTATAAAATTTGTTTCTACTGAATTGAATGTAATTTCTCTATTTCTAATGTTTCCCACATTCTTAGTTAATAAGTAGTGTAATTTATGTGACAGGGATAACAATTTTTAATTAATGTCACTGCAATGCATGTCCCGTCTCTGATTAAGCGAACCTGGACCAGCTCCAGGTTTGATTTCAACCTGGAGCTGGAACGATCAATTTGTAAATAGACTGCTTTGGCCACAGAGGAGGTTGGACAGCCAATTAGGTAAACATTTCGACCAATCAGATTGCGCCATTTTCCTCATGCTCGCGCGAAGCTTGTGTCAACGAAAATTTACATAGGTTTTATAAATAGCATTTTTTTTCATATTGTTATGCAAATTGTTTGGGGAATTTCACGCGATACTACTTCTACAACCTTCTTGAAAGGTAAGCGTCACTTTCCAGTTTATTTTGACCTCTCACTTAGGCGCTATGCCGTCGCGATGTAATTTAATGGCTTTCTTTCAACAATCTTTGAAGACAAAAATCTCAAATTTCCACGGTTCGATTTCGCTATTTTTTTCACGATTGGTAAAACAAAAGTATAATATTTAATTCTAATTCGAGCCCCCCTCCACCCTCGTTCCCAGGGCTTCTCGGCTGCCAATGAAGGCAGCCGTGAAGCCCTGGGAACGAGGATGGCCCCCCTCGGCCACGCAACCGTTTTCGAGATATTCACTGTTGAATATTTAACAACTATTCGCCGAAGTGATTAACGGTGAATATTCACCGAGACGAAGTCTGGTTGAATATTCACAGTAATCACTGAGCCTAAGGCGAAAAATTGTTTTAGTATAAATTTTAAATTAATAAAACAAAATATCCAAATATCGGTTTAATTAAAATTCAGAAATAAAACTGTTTTCGGCCAGTTGCTGTTTCGATTTCTACTTAAGAAATAAACACAATGATGGAATAACTTTTTCACCAGACTTAAATTAAAACTAGTTTCTGCCGTTTAACATTTATTTGTTTAGGAAATGGCTCACAAAATTGGTAAAATGAAATGTAAAACTATATCGTTTGAAATAAAGTTTTAATTAATAGACTTCACACTTTACAAGTTTCGAAAATACAATACAGCGTCAGGACACCATACAGCGCAATGAAAACACGACATATCAAAATATATAGTATCGTGCAAATTGAAATATCAAAAGGATACAAAACAAATTGTTTTGAAAAAGAATATTACAGCTTTTACCAACAGTCGGGATAGTTTTTGCTATTTGTTTGAAGTAAACGTTAAGTTTTGGAGTTTAATTAAGTTTTAAGACTAATAAATTGTCTGTGAAGATCTTTGACACAGTAAAATAATAAAGGAATCCTACCTTCTAAGTTAAATACAACATTTCGTGCTTTTTTCGTTTTCGATCTGGGGACGATTTTTTCAATATTTCGTCGATTTTGAAACCAAATTTTACGAATCATTCTTTTTGAAATGCATTATTTACTGGTCAGGTGGTAATTAAATAATGCGTCAGATTTACTAGTCAACTAGCCAATCAAAAGGCGCGAAAGCTTATTTGATATGCAAAATTTATACTAAATCCCCTTGTAAAATATGCTGCCTTGTCACTCAGATCGACAATGAACTACTATTACTCGCTTTTTTCTAAAAAATGTGATTTACTATTGAAGTTTCGATATTTTATAGATTATATATATTGCAATTAATGTATGTAAATATTTAAAGCACTTCTGTAACAATATTTTATAAGTGAACTTTATTGTTTGGCTGAAGCTTTTAATAGATTCGAGATTCGTGATTTTGGCTGGATTCTATTTTTGTCAATGATTTTGTCTGCAAGAATAAGCATCATAATTAAATTTGGAGGTGACATCGGTCCTATCCTGGTAGTTTTTCTCATGAGCAGCACCCATGCACTTGAATGGGACAGCATGGGTAATTTCATCCTCATTACTTAACTGGTCAGCACTTTCTGGCCTATCACCCTCATTACCATATATATCCATCCTGACCAAGTTCAAGACCATGCAGCCTGCATGCAACCATACACTGTAATCTCTAAAATTGACAATCTAATGCAAAAGTGTGTCACTATCTACAAAAATATTAGAACAACACACATTATATGGCAATATTTTACAGATGAAAATTGAAAAATATAACTACTGTATGCACATATATGTAATAATCTATCCACACCTAGATACAAACAGGCATCATACTTCAGCAAAATTTTATTAAACAATTTGTTTAACTCAAACATGCACATATGTATCACAGTGACACAGTACATAGACACACACAATAGGGTCAAACTAGAGGCATTATAAACACAAGTAATACGCCATAATTGTTTACAGTGTATTTATAAAATTACAGTACAAGAATAGAACAACAAAGCGGAAATTTGACTATAAAATAACACGATAACTGTAATCCATTGTAGTATACCAACCTTAAATACTACGCAGGCGCGGCGCTACAGGAGGGGGGGGGTGGAACACCGGATATCGCGACTAGCATGCATCAAAGAAACCACACATGCAGCAATGCAAATTCTTTCTAATTAAATTTGCTTGGTTGTTAAGTTGTTGTTGCTTATTATACTGTTCCATAAAAGAGGCAATAAAGCGGTCGGTTTTCCACTAGCGAACTTTTTCGCACGAAGTGACCTTTTCCTTTGTCGGTATCACTTATTACGTGAGCAAGATGTGGCAAAATCAATCCTCGAAAACGAGATCGGCATTCCAAGGTCGGCAAATTTTTGCCGACCTTAATTCAACCAAAGTAAGAATTTTTTGGTGCTGTTAGCTGTTAAAAAGTCAGTGAATATAGAATTCGATTCGTAGATCGATTAACTGAACACACACGGTGTAAGGTTTAAAATTAAAATTGACGGGTATTGTGTATATACGTTAAGTGTCTGAAAATCAAATTTCGCGCGTCTGGAGTTAAAATTTGGCTTCAATTACTTTTGAATTTTCCGGCTGGAGGTAACGTTCCAGTTATATTCCGATTTCGATGATTCGTAAATGTGTGGTTAATAGCTAGTGCGCCAAGACGTGAAACAGATTTTAAGAAATGCCGAGAGACGTGCCGTTATAGGTCAAATTTAGGTCGGCCCTTTTTTGCCGATCTCAATTTTGATGGTTTTCGAGGGCTTCAAAATGGATGCCGACCAAGGAAAAAGGTCGCTTCGCGCGGAAAAATTCGCTAGTGGAAAATCGGCTTAATAGAAGGTAATAAAACTCATTTAGGGGCGGACAATTTGATTTTCGAGGGGGGTTGGAAGATTTTTAAAAAAAATTCCTGCAATCCAAGGAGAAAGAAAAAAATTCATGCAGCATATAATCGAGAAAAAAAATATCATGCAAAAGAGAGTGCTCAACGTTCTTCACTTCAATATTGTGTCCACAGGCTTGCACGATTTTGCAGTTTTGAGCATGCACATTTGCTTAAACGAAAACGGGGTGAACAGTGGACAACATCACAGGGATTCTACCACCTTTGGAGCCTATAACATATACGATAGCCAGTGGCGTCCCCTGGCAAAATTGTCGCCCCCCCCTGAGAAAATCTGGGCTTAAGATATGTACAAATTTATAAATTATTTATAAATTAATATCTAGTATGCATGGTAGAAAAAGTATTTTTGGATGGTTGAGTCTGTGTGCGTTTTTTGATAACATAGCTCCAAACTATTAAAGCTTCAAAGGCCCATCTACAGGATGCAAGTTGAACGTACTGCATATACGATGCTTGTAATGCGAAAATGCCAGTTTAGAGAGTCTAGATTTTAAAAAATGTTTGAAGAGGATGAAACCCGATCCCCAACAAGTTATCTGTATGAACGATTGAAAAGCTACAGAGCTATTTGGTGTAGCCTGCATGGCAGGCGGTACTTAGGAAATACCGCCTGCCGCAAAACTGGGTGCCAATGAACTACCGCCCCTGAAGCATCAACGCTATTTATAGATGCATTAATTAAGTAAATATTCAAAATTAGCCACTCCCAAGCTGCTCCCAAGTCCCAACTGCCCAACATAAAATAAATTCCTTGATTCTCACTGCCGCCCGACTAAATTTTAAAATCCTCGTGAAAACGTTTTATATTTCGTTATACAATATAAATGTACCGCCCGACAAAATAATTCCAGACAGTTAATTTTTTTATATTTTATATAGAGTATTTATTGCCATTTTAAACTTCCAATTTGAAACAAACAGAATTTTGAATGAAATTTCATTGTATTTTAAAGAAACTCAGTCATTCTGTCATTGTTCGTGGAGATACGAACTATTGATATATAAATTATATAAATATAAAATATAAAAAATAAATCTCCCACTGTCCTCGACATTTCAAAGTGTAGACTGTGTCTAGTGATGAGAATCAAGGAATTTATTTTATGTGGTAATATAAACCAAGCCCGTTTAGCTGCCTTAAAGCGGTAGTTTAATAAGCTCAAAATACAAAGCATGCAAGTCTATACTATAGATTCATCATCAGTCAACAACCAAACTGAAAGTTTTGAACCGTATAGAACGATAGTTTTTATTTGTTTACAACTATACATATTCAACGGGTATATAAGAGTTAAAACTGTTATTTGATAATTACTGCATCAACCGGCCCCTTGTTTATACTTTGGAGGTTCGTATATAAATCAAGTATCTTTGGTTCAGAACATGATAGGCCTATATGAAAATCCCACTGTTCGATTCAGTGAAGAAATATCTCCTAATTTCTATCGATAGTTTTAGTAAAATGTCAACATTATTGCGATTTATGGCCTTTGAAAGTCAAGCGAGATCGTATATTATCAAATTAACACGCATGTAATTGTCTGAACGAAAATATAGACTAGCCCATACCTTTCCCCGATCATAACTTCGGCCCCTTCGGACGTATCTTCTTTGTTAAATATTCTTGTTCGAATCTCTATCAAAAACACTACTTAGAGTGTTATTTTTCAGCTTGTTGCTGCCGTAGGCAGCCACCTATTCTTGACGATGTGTTTTTCTCGCACCAGTCCGTTTCCGGTTGGCCGAGTTATGTATAGCTGAGCGACAACTCGATTTTATTTGCATGTACGAATGTACGGATGATCAGATTTATGACGTATTTTGACGTCACAGAAATTTTAAAAAATAACATACTCCAGATCGCGATTTGACTTTCCGAATACCCGGGTTGAGACTCACGAACACCACCATGGACTATTACTATTTGTAAATAACATCACTTCGTGCTGTTGTAAATTTTGATTCCAGCTTGCTGCAAATTTTATGTCTGGCTGTTTATCGAAATATTATTTTACGTCTGGCTGTTTATCGAAAATATTGAAGGTAAGATGAAAGTTTGATTACAAGTAACAACGTATTTTTGTCGAATTATTTTACCCATTGAAGCGAATGAATCAACTGTAATCTGTATAGGGTATATAACTATTAATTCAACCAGGAACGAAAACATCGAAATGACATATAGTGTCGTATAGTCTTGTATAACGTTGTATAGTGTTGTTTAGTCTCTATAGTCTTGTTAAATAGTCGTCTATAGTGTAGTATAGCGTTGTATAGTCTTGCATAGTGTCATATAGTCTTGTATAACGTTGTATAGTGTCGTAAAGTGTCGTATATCCTTATGTATTGTTGTATCGTCTTGTATCACGTTGTATGGTGTCGTATGGTGCCGTATCTAGTCTTGTATACTGTTGTATAATGTTGCATAGTGTCGTTTAGTGTCATATAGCCTTATATAGTGTTGTATAGTCTTGTATAACATTGTATAGTGTTGTATAGCTTTATATATTGTTATATAGTCTTGTATAACGTTGTATAGTGTCGCATAGCCTTATATATAATGTTGTATAGTTTTGTATAACGTTGTATAGTGTTGTATAGCCTTGTGTATTATTGTGTAGTGTCGTATAGTGTTGTATAGTCTTGTATAATGTTGTATAGTCTTACACAATGTCGTATAGTCTTGTATAATTAACATTGTGTAGTATCGTATATCCTTATATAGTGTTGTATAGTGTTGCATAACGTTGTGTAGTGTTGTATAGTCTGTCATGTACAATCTTGTATAGTGTCGTAATTTTGATAGTCTTGTATAACGTTGTATAGTGTCGTATAACCTTATATATTGTTGTATAGTTTTGTATAACGTTGTATAGTGTCATATTGTGTCGTATAGCCTTTATATGTTGTTATATAGTCTTGTATAACGTTATATAGTGTTGTATAGTGTCGTATAGCCTTGTATATTATTGTGTAGTGTCGTAAGTGTTGTATACTCTTGTATAGTGTCGTATAGTCTTGTATAACGCTGTATAGTGTCGTATAGTCTTGTATAGCCTTATATACAGTAGTGTTGTATAGTCTTTTATAACATTGGATAGTGTTGTATAGCCTTGTATAGTGTCATAAGATCATTAATAAGTTCACCTGCTTACAAGATATGTAGCTTTTAACAGTTTTTTGTAAAAAAAACATTATACAGACAGACAGGATATATAATAGTGTTATGCGCTTCCATTATTAATAGTGTTATGGTATAGACGTATAATAGTAATGTTATGGTATACATAATAATGTTATATTTCCATTGTTAATAGTATAAACAGTCCTTGGGTTTTGTGCATTATATTTATCCATTATTAATAGTGTTATTAACTGTTAGTCATTCCAGGTTATTACTCTAGAGGTGACCACGCTTGACTTTGTGTCTAAGAATATTAGTAACATTAACCTTAGTGACAATCGCATAATAGCTAAATGTGTGGAGGTAGCCCTGCGGGTCACATTATAGATATATTGTCGGAGAAATAAGCCGTGGAATGACCCATACTTTGTTCATTTTTATGAGATACTATCGTTTGGAGTGCTCAGAAAATGACCTGTTTCATTACAGAGAACTGTTTTCTTAATTTTAGATAATTAGAATATTGTTGTAACATATATGCACGCGATTCTTACAATACAATAAAATACGATTTTTATTGTTTAAAAACTATAATTGTAGTGTTATGTTTCCATTATAGTGTTATTTAGCTTTGTATTATCCACGGATTATAAACAGATTTTGAACAACCTAACTCAAAGTTTTGGCCGTGAGGCAGCATTTCCTTGCGTTAGTAACTTCTAGTATCTTTTAATTTGCTTCTTTTATTATGTTATTCCATTTCTGGTCTGACTTGACGTGAACTATTAAATTTCAAAACGACAAAACATTTGGTTAATGATTTTAAAACACCTAACCGAATTTAGCCGTTGATTGACAACTACATAAATATATTAACCAATCCGTTTTTCCCGTTCACCAGCGGACGGGTAATTCAAAAACCCCTAGTTTTGCGGCAGACGGCATTTCCTTTGCCTCCCTAATTTTCGCTGTCTATAGAAATACCGCCTGCCGCGCAGGCTATATTTGGTGGAACATTGTTGTTTCGGAGGGCAGTTAAAAATCGCATTATTGAAATCTTGTTTTATTACATATTAATCAAATCTCATTTTGTGATTTTCCCTTGTTTAAAATAAAGGACAGTAAGTGTTCCTTAGGCTTAGTACAGCGTGAACGTTGTTGGACGAATCCATGGCTGAGAACGCAGGAAATAGCAATTCCGAGGTTGAAATTTTCAATTTTCTCGGGGAGCATGCCCCCGAACCCCCCCCCCCCAAGGTTACAGGTCATTCATATACTATACCGCCCTCATTTTCGAGTACTCTACTCAATCCTACATGTTTTAGGTTTTGGTGCAGTTATACATTTTTTGTAAGTAAACCTGCACGCTTTAGTGTGGGGATATTAAGACATAACCATATAAAATAAAGCCGACAGTGAAAATTCCTTGGCCCCTCTTGGAATTCTGTTCTCGGCCTCCTCTGACTGAAAACCCTTGCTACGACTCTGAAGATAGCTATATGAAAGCGCAAAAAAATATTCTGCCGCGAAATATATTGGGGGGAAATATCTTGCGCTGCACTTTTAGAGGAAAAAAGTATCTGTCTTGTTCCCCTGGGCGGAAATTTTTTTTTGCACAGTCTGAATCTTCCAATCTCAAAAAATCAAATTGTATATAGACTACCGACCTCGGCAAAATTACCAAACAACAGCGTCGGCAAAAGATCACTACACCCCCACTCGAAGAGGGTTAGCGCCGCTCCAGATACTACGCTTGTTTTCACGTTGATGATACACGGAAATTTAACGCCATCCAACTTAGAAAGAAGAGCCTCGCTTTTGGGAACATAAACACATTTCCTTTTCTCAGATAGATTATTTATAAAGCTAAAATGACAGCAGTCCCATGCAATTTAAACTTGAT